TGAGCGCAGCTTCTTGTCTCATCCTATTAGGTTTGTGATGCTGAGTATGTATAGAACATGTTAGGTCAAAAACTTTGCACAAAATCTCAAGCATTCATGGTTTCACATATTTGATTTTGGAAAATCTTTTTCATATCTTTTCATGTGCAACTTGGTTCAAATCTGATCAAATCTTATCAAAACTTGCCATAATCCATTAAGCACGAAATATTGACATTATAATGTGCATAAAAAGATTTTTTAGGTTAAGGTTTATATTTTTCATGAATTAAAATCATTTAAATGAATATAAATTAATATTAATTCAAATAAATAATTAAAAAATATGAGAATACTTCCCCTTGGGCCTAGTGGTCGTGCATAGGCTTGGCATGAAGAAATTTGGAAGAAAAATGGGCCCATTTGCATTTTTAGGCCTTTTGCATCAAAGTTGACTTTTCAAAATTCCTAAAAATTTCCCAACTTCCACAAGGCATAACTTGGTCAATTTTTAAGCTTTTCACATGTTCTTGGACATTTTGGAAAGGTCTTTGAGTCCTTTAACCAATGCCTTTGGTCCCATGTCATTTTGATTCACCAATCTCAAGTTATGGCCTTTGACTTAAAGTCACTTTTTGTTGACTTTTGAAAATGACCTATAATGTTGAAATTGATAACTTTTTGTGAGAGCATTTCTTGGACTTGGAACATGAAGATGAATTGTAGGAAATGTCTTTCTCTTCAAAATGAGCTTTGGATGGAATTTTTCTGATAATCCATGTGAAAGTTATGCCCTGGTCAATTTCAGTTGACTTTTTCAACTGTCCAAATATAGTAACTTTTGCATCTTTGATGATTTCTGAGCCAAATTTTGAGAATCATGATCAAGCATTGATCAAATGATGTTTGTGGCTTCAAAATGATATATTGACCAAAAATTTGAACTTTTGACTGTCAAATGACCATTTTGCCCCTACAGTTGACTGTAGTGCAATCTAGGGTTTTGACTGTGCAATTTTGAGCTGAATGCCTTGCAACTTGACATGAGGATGCTTGACCATCTTTTTAAGCATGTGGGACTTGATTGGGCCTTTGAAAAGTTCATTTGCTTGACCAGAACTCAAACCCTAGTTTTGACTGTATGGGAGACAGTTGAGCTGCACAACCCTGGGGGACTTTTGTGACCTTGACCTTTGCAATTCTTGATGAATATGGGAGGGCAAATTTTGGGGTACAACATACTCCTTGAGTAGTTTATCTTTACATTCTAGCATAATATAGACTCACATGCATGTATGATTGGTTGAGAAATAAATACATGTGGCACCAAATGATGAAAAGGCGGTAAAAGGCAACTGGCTCTCTAATTTGGGTAGCCCTCACCCGGTTATTCAGCCCAAAGGGGGTTGATCCCCAAATGTCGTCCAAAAAGACAATATATAAAATGAAAAGTTTTGAAAATTTCATCCGAAATTAAAAATTAGGAAAAGCTGTTTATTTGGTGCCTAAACAAAAAAATTCTTGATTAGTCTTGTGCATGTGATGATCATTATAATTCTCATTGCCTTAATTTGATTGTCCGAATGAAAAAGGAGGAAAATTGGAAAGACACTTAAGTATAAAGCATAGTTAGAGAGGTATCCGAAGAGGAAGCTCGAGATTAAAAGGTTCTTACACAAACTCCTCGTGGCAAGTGAACATCATACGGACTACCTTTTGAGCAATGTGAACGGATATCTCACGTATGAGTACCGATATGCTGCAAATTTCATGATCTCTGGTAAATGTCACTTGAGGTCAAGCAACTGTTTAAGTTTGAGGTAGTTTGATCTGTGGTTTTTACACAAATATTCACCATTTAATTTAGTTATCTTTTCTTTTTATTGTCAAGTGTTATATCTCATTTTACCACTTTTTATGTGTTGGTTGTTTGTGTTACTATTTTCATATTCAAAGGAATAAACCGGGATAAAACAGCGCAAAACTTAGAGTTTTAGAAGAAATTCAAAAATCAACTTTCAGTAGGCCTGACACTGGTGGTCGTGTTACCTAACACGGGTTGTGTCAATAGGAGCGCCTAGGACACATTGAAGAAAAATGGAAGCCAGGGGTGCAACATGGGCGACCCTGTTGCCTGACACGGGCCGTGTTTCCCCTCTTGGGACTTAAACAAGAAAATAAAAAATCAAGAGGCCAACATGGGCAGCCGTGTTGCCTGACACGGGCCGTGTTGGCCTCTGACATTGATTTCTTGAGTTTTTTTTCTATTTTGCCCATATGTTAAGTTATGGGGGCGTTTTGGGTACTTCCAACCAACCTAAGTGAGTTTTTGTTATTTAGATGAATTTCCATGATGAATTAGGGGACTTTTTGCCAGCGAAGAATAGTTTTCACGATTAAAGATTGGAGAGAGAAAGGTTCTTGGAGAGCGGAAGATTCTCATGAGCGGAAGAAATTGAAGATAAAAGTTATCCAAATACATGTAATGTCTAGTTTTTGTATTGTAGTTATTTTGAACAATATGAGTAGCTAAACCCCCCAATGCAATGGGATGTCCCTATTTTGCAAATGTAATGATTTTTAATTCTTGATTTTTGTACAATAGTTTCTTTTCAATTGAATTGTTAAATGTTCTTATGTTTTTCCTATCAGACAAATAGGGATTAATTTACGGTTAATAATTAGGGCTGGACCATCATTGTTAAGGTTTTTGAATGAATAAACTATAATAGATATCACCTAGGGCTAGGGATACTTTATAGTTATTGGTAAAATCTTGATAAAATAAATGCTTGATTTCATCATAATTCTCTAAGGACCTAGGTATTAGGATGAAGGACCAAAGGTTTTCCTACTAAGGACTTAGGGGAAAAAAACTAAAGATCTGGTAGTTGAAGGTTATGAACTTGTTGAAGAAATCAAGAGTAAAGGTTATTACAGGGGAAAATCACACACTTAACCCTAGCATGCTCCTCATATTAGTAAAAATCCAATTTATATTTATGCTTATTGTTAAGTGACAATTTCAAAACCAAAACCCCAATTCAAATTTTTATTTAATTGAACCACACATTGAACTCAATTCGGATACACAGTCCTTGAGATCGATACTTTGGGATTTCCTATTATTACTATATTGGTGAATTAGTACACTTGCTAATTTATCGATATTTAATTAGCAAGTGTAGAATATGAATACTTAATTCCAGTTGTCTTCTTGTGTAACAGACAGTGAGAGTGGTAGACAACATCGTACCATAGTATTATCCTTGTGCCACAAAATCATGGTAGTGGAAACATTTGATCTTGTATCATTTACTATTCACTCACGTAAACCATTTTGACAATATCTTCTAATCCTTCAGATGCTTCAGAATGTGTGTTGATGAAGCATACTTAGAAGGATCAAAACATCAAAGAGAATCTTAAGAACCCATGTCTTCATAGTCTTAAGAACTTGTTCTTTCCAGAACATTATCTTCAAAGTCTTCAGACTTTTGGTCTTCAGAATCTCGAAACTTGGAAGCGCAAAAACTTCAGAGCTTGAAAGTCTTCAGAATCTCTTCAATCAGATTCACAACACAAAAGCTTTAAACTAACGTTCTTCATAACCTTTATCTATAGACATTCCAGAACTTGACTATATTTTAGTAACAGGTACTAGAATCTCACCAGATTCAGAGTGTGTTGATTCAGAAACTGATAACGTTACATGCCCTTCTATTAGAGTCAGAACCTGTTAGCAAAATCTACACACTAGAAATAAATGTCAGGGTACAAAATTGTTCTCTAAGAAACAATGTATTGTTATCATCAAAACTAAAGGTCAGATACAGAACCAAATCTTGTTCTTACAATCTCCCTCTTTATGATGATGACAAAACCATGTATTTTGATGAACAGTATTTACATGTTTAATTATAAAAAAACATTTCAGAGTTAGCTATAAAGCTCCCCTTGAGTTCTATATTCTTAAAAATTTATCTCAACTTGTTCAGAATCTCCCTGTGAGTTCAATACTTATGAAATAATTTTGAAATATAAAACAATCCAATCTGAATGAAATGAATACTTCCCTTATTAGAACACTTGCCAGAGTCTATTTGTAATGTCCGGTTAGAAACTCCATCAGATGACTAGAAGCGCTTGATTTAGTAACTTATTTCTTGTCTTGCTATCAAAACATGATGAGATTTCAAAACATGGTTCATTCAGAGTCTGGTTTCAAATACCAGATCTTGGTTTCTTATCAGAACCAGGTTTGATGGATATCAGAACCTTGATTAAACCTGGGTGTATCAGAGTCTAGTTGAATTTCCTTTAAGAAAATGTATGGTTAACATGCCCTTATAACCACTACATATGGATATAAAAACATAATATCTTCTTCAAAGTTTTTGATCATAGACTGTCTAGAAAATCCAATGAAATTTCATAAAGTTCTTGATCAATCAATCATGGTTAGAGGCAAAAAGATTCAGAAAAATATCAAAACATGTATGAGATAGTTCTTTAGAAGATATATATCGAAATCATCTCACTTTCTCCCCATTTGTCATAAATAAAAAAGACTTTAAAAGAATTAACCAAAAGATAAATTCATTGATTAATAAGATAAAGTACATATTAAAACAAAATGACAAAAAAGTTTCAAAAAAACACAAAGGTAAAAACAGAATAAGCTAAGGGTTTGTTCTTGAAGGTAGCCTTGATGCATTATCCCGGAGTATCTGAGTAATCTTAACATCCGTCGCCATTTGATCCTGGTATTGTTGATCTTGTAGATCCATATGCTGTCTGACCAGAGCATTCTCTTGTCTGATCAAATCACTCTTAGCAGGGTTGACACCAAAGGTGCAACGATGCCTCATAAAGTGAAAATAAGAACTTACCTCTGTACTAAATTTCATTATCAGTTCATCCATAGAGGGTGGTTGGATATTGGTTTTTAGGGAGGTTTAGTCAAAAGAAGTGGAATAAGGATTGGGGGTTCTATCTGGAAAGGGAATGATTCTGTGAATTTATTCAACAATATCAAGAGAAATGGTTTTCTGAGGAGAGGTAAGTTCAACAACATCATGGGTGAAAGGTACATTGATAACATTTGAATTTGGTTCTGGTGAAGGGTAAGTTTGCTGTAAGGAAGTGGTTGAATCAGGTTCTTCTTCAGAATCAGATGAAATAACATGAACACAATATGAAGAATCACTGGAAGTAGGATGAGTGTCAATAAAGTTTAAGAAAGCTACAATTTGATTAATTTGGGATAAGAACGATTCATAAATGCTAGAAGTTGTTGATTTGAAAGGCGGGATCTCAGGTGAGGGAGCAACAAAGGATGAATTAATAACAACATTCTGACACGGAGTGCTAGGAAGGTACTTACTTGAATAATATATAGTAATTCTTCACAAATAGAAGTAACTTTTCTCTTCTTTCTGATAAGCGGTTCTTCAAGTATTTTTGGAAGATCATCAACATATCCATAAATTGCAGCATTATCATAAATGCTTTTGAGAACATGTTCAATAATGATTGATGGATAGGTTTCAATAGGCTTTATAATAGCTTGGGGAGATACACTAGCTGGTTCCTTCTTACTTAAACAATCCTCCAAATAGAAAAGAACAACATTTTAAATATTAGTAGTTTTAAACAAGTAACTTTGTTATATATCAAGATTGGGATAGAGTTTTGCTTCAGACTCCTGAGTTGTCAGAGGATTGACAACAAAAGAGATCAAGGACAAAAAACATCAGGTTTCTCTAATCAAAGGGTCTTCCAGAAGTTGTAATCAGAAGATCATCCAGATTCTGATGAAATAAAAATTCCACAAGTTTACTTTCAACCAGAAAAACTGATATAAGTCTCCCCATAGGTATCCAATTTACAATATTATGAGCACCAATTCTAGAACATCTAATCATAATCCTTATGTAATTAAGCAATATTGCAGGAAGATTGATCTTGGTTCCAGAAGCTAGAAGATACAACATATACTTCTAGTCATTGTTGATGCGATTAAGAGCATTAGTAGAAGGTCTGTGAAAAATCCATCCCAGAATAATTTTATCCCATACTATGAGACTAGGATGAAGATCTCTGACAAGCTTAGAATTTTTCTTATGCTAAAAGATCTTTGAGGAAACCAGTTTCCATCTTTTCTTACTAATACTTCCATTATTAAGATTGCAACATTTTCTTCCATCTCCATCATGATTAAGAAGTTGAACAATAGATTTCTCTGTGATGTGTAAATTCATTCCATCTATACTTGCTGAGATTTGCAATCGAGGTTCCTGAGTCATAATCAAAAATTGTTTTGCCAGTTCAAGGAAAACGGGTCCGTTAAAAATATCAATTTGCTTTTAAATTGTTGAAATCCATTTGCTTTTAGATTGTTGAAATCCAACTCTTCTATAAATTCATATCCATTTGCTTTTAGATTGTTGAAATCCACTCGTAACTCATTTAGAACAGTCAACTGAGATATAGGAATGGAACACTGAAGATCGGGAATTCTTTCTTGAACAAGTTATTAAGTAGATGTAGTTTTTTATAGATAAGCTTCTTATTGTTGTTGTTGTAGTTGAGCCGCTGGTGAAGATTTTTGAGTCATTGCGAACAAGATTACAAACAAGAACCAAAAATGGTTTTATGGTTTTTGCAGAGAACTTTTAGGGCTTAAAATAGAAAACTTTCAATAGCCTGACAGATAAGAACTCCACAGTTAAGTGTGCTTGAATTGGAGTAGTATTGAAAGTGTGTGAGTGAGGACAGATCATGCTAAAAGACATGAGTTGGTTTATGGAGTCAGCCGATAATCCTAAAAGTTGTCTGGAGAGTTATAACCACCACGTGGTTGAACTTTGGAGCCAATGACCTCAAGATCTTTGCAAAAATTGATCTTGTTGTCAACATTTCTCCATATATCTTGATTTGATTCACTAGTTTCGTAACCTTAGTAAATAAATCCATTATGCTTTCAATTTATTCCATCTGAAACAATTCATACGTTCTTTTGTGAGTTTGTAACCTCGCCCATTTCACCTTTTTTACGCCCCCAAAAGACTTTTCCAGAATTTCCCACACTTCTTTCCCATATTCTACATCACTCACCTTTTTGAAATTGTCTGAACTCAAACATTGTTGAATTATAATGAGAGCTTTATAATTCTTCTTCTTTAATTATTTGTGTTATGCCTCTTCTTCTTCTGATGTGTCTTCTTCAAGCGGTTTTAATCCATCTTTCACAAGATTCCAGTGATCTTGATAAATGAACACATCCTTCATCTTCTTGCACCAATTCTCATAGTTATCAACTTTCAAAATTGGAAGACTTGCTGGAAAATGCTCTTTCGGATGATTCATTGCCATCGTGTTTTTCTTGCCTTGAATCTCTCAATTGGAGCTCTTGATACCAGATGTTGAAAATTTCACCAAAATCTATGGAGAATTTTTATCAATCTTGATGAACAAGATTATTATCAATATATGATAACAATTGTTAGTTCTCTTGTTTTAGGATTGGCTTAATTTGTGTAAAACAAATAATACAAGTAATAATGTAATGAAGAATAGGATAACAAGAACAGGTACAATAAGAAGTTCCATTACAATGCCAGAACATGTTGTGTGGGAACAACATGTCGAAGAATATTTCTTGACATTGCGCCTGCTGAGCTGGATTAATGAGATTCAGTTTGTTCTTAACATAAGCAGAATATTCAGGAGAATATTATGCATCCTATGTGGCGCATATTTAAAGGTCTAGAAAATTCAATCAAAAATCAAGGAGAATGAAGACTTTCTAAATAAGGAGATTATTTAGGAAAGTAAAGATTTAAGACCTTTCTTGGGGCAGCAGTTTCTGCAGTTTCTTACAGCTAATTTGTTGTGATTGAAGGCCCAAAACTAGTTGGATAACAGGTTTTAAATAGAAGGGTTTGTAACCTAGAAAAGATACGTCTCAAGATATAAAAGTCTAGGGTTTTATCAAGGTAAACCTCTCGGCTTGTGGGAAGGTTACCAAGTTCACCTTAAAGCCTGTAGGTATGAGGTGTATTGTTCTTGGAGGAAGCTTTGAAGCAACTCCAGGATGTGTTCTTAGTTAGGAGCAAAGCTAAAAAACAGTGGAATTTGGCTTGGAGACTTAGCTAGGTTGTCATGGAAGTGTGTCTTCCAAACTTTCTATCTGTGTGATCAGAATCTTAGTGAAGGGCCGTTGATGCAGTGACTGAGGTGTTGACTGCTAGACATCATTGCGATGATTGGAAGTGGGATAGGGATATTACATATCTAGGGAGGACCTAGGTAGAAGGATCATTGGGTAGTTATTAATTTCGTAGATCGTCAACGAGTGTGTTGGTTGTAGGGTCTACAAATTGATACTGCTGATAGTGGACTTCATTCCTGGTTTGGTAGCCCCCAAAGTAGGTGTTGTTGTACACTGAACTGGGTAAACAATTTTGGTGTGTTCTTTATCTTTTCATTACTATTTCATATTTCATGTGTTTTTATGTCAGATCAGATGTCTCGACATCCTTGTAGGACATCTGAGTCTACTGTACCAGAATTTCAATTGGTATAAGAGAAGGCATCCTGTTCTGCTCTGTGTGAGATTCTGGGAAGGTACTTTCTGGTCATGGGCAAGGAATAAAGTATTTACTGAAAAGAGGTGTGAACTTGGGAAATTCATACTATTGTATGGATGATCTCTTGGCAAAGTTCATTGGTTATATGTGACAGGTATTGTTCCTGGCTATTATCGTCAGGCCTGCAGCTTAGTCGAAAGTTGTTGTATGTAGGGTTTATTTTTTCAATCCTAGGTTTCCATGCTTGTACTTGGATAGTGGTGTAAGCATCGTGTCTGAATATTGTTATGGAGTTCGTTATATTCTGCGGCATGGTTTCTGATATAACGCTGAAAGTATGGGAAGGATACTAGGGTTATTACCCTCAACATAATATAAGCTGACATTTTCATTCGTATTAAAAGTGTCAAAGATACATGAGATTTTCCTCAAGTTTACTCAAAAAGACATTTATAAATGAGGTTGATGAGAATAAATTGATCAATGATGCTCATATATATTTGTATATTAACCCCGAAGACTGTCAAGGATGGTGTGTTCCAAGAATAAGGAACTGATGTTCTATGGAATGTTAGAACATTACTTCAGCAGGTATGCAACTACCAGTTGAAGAACAGATGCTTTAGATGCTGAACAAAAATGTTATGAATACTTTTTGTTTGGAACCTACTCCTGGTCTGGAAGAGGAGGCATCTAGTTTGTGTTGGTTGATCAGGACACGATCAACAATGTATCTACTCCATGTTTCAGTTTATTTCTGACCAAGGCTTATGAGAGTATAGAGGTTGAGCTCTATGTTCTTGAGAAGAAACCATAAAGGAATCTCCACCAGATCCTTTATGTATATGAGATGAGCTCATATCGGGAAGATCCTTCTAATCAAAGGTACCAGATTCATGGAATCCTATTTGTGGACATAGAACATATTATGTTTGAAGAGGAGTATTGTAATCCAACCACAATGTTTTATTCTCCTGAGTATTGTTTTGGTTTCCCTTGAAGAAGAGAATTTGTGATTCTCTTTGTGTATTCTCGGAAGTTAATGAAAAAGATCCCCTTGTCAAGGGTTGATATGATGTCAGACAGACTATTGTGATATCTTTGAAGATGTTAAAATTTGAAGGGCATTATTTTTGAAGAATCAAGGGAAATAAATGCTTTTGAAAAGTCTGTATTTTTTAGTGTCATGCCTAGCAGAGTCTGTTCCAGAGACCTAATAGAGGGAATTTCCTCTGTAGGTACAGACAATGGCATCCATCATCTCAAAGTCAGACATGAGGTCTAAAGAAAAGCTTATTGAGGTGTGGCTCGTGCATCCCCTGCATATGTTGGTATTCTAATCCTGAAGATTGATCAGTTGTTTTTGGTTTCTTTCCTTGTTTTAACCCCCACAAGAGTTGATTATAAGTTACTATAGAAGTTACCTCCAGAACCATAGTAAGACTGGGTGATGTCGTATCTGATGTCGGGACATCATCTATAGGTGTGTGCTTCCTCTAAAAAGGAAGTTGTTGTGTAGATCATGAGGTGAGTATTGTTTTTCACCAGTGAAGTTCAAAGTTAGAATGTTTGATCATGATGGAGCTGAATACCAGTCTCTGACCAAGTCTAGAATGTAAAAAGAATCCTCTTATGTTGAACGATGAAGAAGAAGGATGTCAGTTCAAGTGCTCTAACATCTGTTGAAAAGGAGTATAATCTGCAGTTGTGTGTATGGGGAAGTTTTTCCTCTGATGACAAATATCTTGTCATGAGCTAAGTATAAGTCTGATCTTGTGAAGATGTGCATGTTACTGATGATAAAGACCTTGTCGGGAGCTAAGTACTTATATGAGGTATGGATACAAATCTACTATATGAACTGATGAATCAAATATTGTTGAGAGTTTATTTCTCTCTATGGTGTTCAGGTGGCTGTATCAACCTAAATGAGTCGTGGAAGATGTAATCTTTTGTGATCTTCTCCTAAAAAGACTATCAAGATTAATAACCTTTTTGGTTGATAAATCAAGAACTGAATTATTAGGATATGTGAAGAAAGGTTGATGTCTTAAATGATGTTGTAACATAATTTTTTTTGTAAAGGAAGGTTTGGATTATGATTATGGAAGATTAAGGATCAACATGGTTGTCAAAAGAAGGAGTTCCGACTTTGTGGATTAGAAGATACATATCCTGATCCTGTCTTTAGTAGTATGCTTGGTAACTGTATAACTACTATGTTGAAGACTTCACTAGAACCAGCAATTGCTAATGATTATTAGAGAAGAGGAATATGAAGGAGGTGGTTTTCCTCTATTGCAAGTATGTCATCCTGGTGTGTGAAGCTACAAGAAGAAAATATAAAGTCACCACCGAACTTTATTTATCCCGAAGGAAGGGGAAATATCGATAAAACCACAAGGGAATGGATAAGATAGTCTTGCGACCAAGAGAAAGGGTAAGGGAGTCGGTTATGCGAGGGGAAGGTATTAGAACCCCACACATCTGTTGTACTCAACGGGGTCCATTTTGTTTGTATATATTTAAGGGTGTATTTATCTACAACTATACTTGCTTAAGGGGAAAGGAATGGTTTTTTTATTAGTGCGTTCGTGAGGGTTTCGCGATCCTTTTCCTACGTATCCAATGAAGGAATCAGAACACCATAGTTCTTCAAGAAAATGGTTGGTTTGTTTGTGGTTTTAGTGGGCGACGTTAACGCATACATTCTA